AAAAGAAGTCAAAGTATATATGGTGATACAAGAAAATATGCTCTACAAAATAATATAACTCATTTAAACAAATTGCAACTTCTACTTTGATCATCTCGATTGACCGTTAACCGGACAAGCCGATATGTTCAATCAATTTTCTTCCGAAAAAAAGAAAGCTCACTCATTCAGATGTAATCACGCTCTAATGCCTCTAAAAATCTGCAAAATTCTTTGAAAAAAAACTCCATATTGCACTTGCGGCGATACTAAAACACAATTGAATACATAAAACTGTCAGTGTATCTTTCTTATCTCTGAATTTCGCCATAAACTGCGCAGAATCGCTGACGAGATTTTATCTACCACGCGATTCATGTTCTCCATTGCGTTGGTGACTGCAAACAGTCATAGACATGTGAGTAAGTCAACGATCAATTGAAGGTAGATTTATCAACTGGTTTCGTATTAAATGATTACAGGTTTTATGATTTTGTGAACGTGGATTCGGTTTGATTCAATAACATTAACTCCAAAGTATACGAAGAGAAGAACAATGAAAAGATCACATCCCAGAAGGAAAACAGAGAACTTATATGTCGCAGAACAGAATAGAGTTCAGTTCAGTTTTACGTTGTTCTAGTCCAGACTAAAATTTTAATATGAACAAATATCAGAGAGAAATATTGAGATCATACTAATGTTGTACACTTTCGAACAATCCAATCGCTGAAAATGATACAATAGTCAAGGAGTCACTGTATAATTAACAAATAATGTTGAGAACAAGTTCGATCACGGTAATCATATATAGAAACACCTTGGATATGGATGTGGGTGTAGATGTGGATGTGAATTTCATTTCATTGACATTCACACCCACCCATGAGCAAAAATGCAAAATACTAACACTGACTACTAAAAATATCCTCGTATTCGACGACTTAAAACATAAAAAAATCATTTTCAGGCAACATCTATGTCGTATTTGAGATCAGCACCGAAAACTGATTCGAATAGCAACTTTCATTAAAAACAATTTTTCGCCAAAATTTCACCCAAAGGGGACTACACGCAAAATCTATCAGAACAAGACCTGAAATGAGACTCAGTTTTTGGTGCTGCTCTGGAATATGCCAGGGATTTTGCTTGAAAATGAGATTTTGATATTTTAAATCGTCGAAGATGAGAGAACATTTCTAGTAGTCATTGTTATTATTTTGAATTTTTGATTGCCTCCCTGAGGCTTTTAAAATATAAGCTATAATGCTTCTTGTAGAAAAATGTTTTTGCTGCAAGATAGAGCTCTTAAGCTTTCAGAAAAAATATCCTAGCTGCACAGTTATTACCAAATATTCAGAAATTGATGTTTCATATTTGAAGGTTTTCATATTCTGAACCTTAGATATTATATTCGAGACTTAAAAATATCACATCTGGTTCAGCTTTTCGCTCTGCTTCACATGCGGGGTAATTAAAGTCTGAATTCAACGATATGACATGATTTCTTGATGAGGTCAGAAACCCTCGCTTAATGTATATATTTATTAATTGATGTCTCTATAAAAATTCTTATCTTTGTATGGTTTATTCTTTTATAAAAAGGAAGTGGATCCTGTTTTTTTGTTCATACTTTAGATACATTTATTTTTTTCTGAACTCTTCAATATGAAATTTATTATTATATTTCTATTTATAATGTATGCTAATACATTTGATAATGATGATAATCAAAACCAATGTGATAGTATATGTTTTTTAAATATTAATGAAATTGATATGTCAAAGTTTATAAGTGGTACATATGAAGAGAAACATGAAATTGCATTATTATTTGATAAAACTTTTCATGAATATGGTGTTATTCGCTTAATAAATACTAATATTACATCAGACTTAATAGATAAAACAAAAGAATTTTTTTCATTAAGTTTGGAAACAAAACTGAAATATTATGTAAATGGTTCATTTTATGATACATCTGGATATAAACCAACAGGATTAGAGTCTGTTGCCAACTATAAGGGACAAAAAAAGGCATCACCTTCTGATTCTGTCGAAGTTTTTTTCTACAATTTAAAATCCATATCAAAACATAGTGATTTTTCTATTGACCAATTGCCTGAATTGTTTCGTGATGTTATACCAGAATATATCTTAAAAGCAAGACAGTTAATTTCTTATGTTCATAGTATTGCTGATATGGCATTGGAATTGGATGATAATACATTTGATAAAAATTATACAAGTGATGATGCTAGGTTTAGTTTAAGATTAGCTAAATATTTACCAATAAAAAATGGAGAACAATTAGCATTAGGAGAACATCAAGATTATCTTGGATTTACATTAATACAAAATGATAATGTATCAGGTATGTACAATAGGATTCTCTAGTTAGAGAAATCTAGCATATGTGTGAAGGATGTTTGCTTTTCTATTGATGTCAAGAAATGTTGTTGATATATTCTTTACTTTTTAGGTTTAGACGTGAATGTAAATGGAAGATGGTTTCGTGTAGAACCCAAACCCAACACTTTATTATTAGTTGGCGGTGAGTTTATTGAAAGATGGACAAATAACTACTGGATATCTATATTACATCGCGTTGCATCAGTACAACAATTCAGGTATTCAGCTTTATTCTTTAGTGGACCAGATATGAATTCTGTTATTCAAACATTGCCATGCAAAAAATGCATGCAACAACCATCAAAATATACTCCAGTTACTGGATACGAACATTTAGAACAAAGAAAAGCAGCTATAATACGCAACTAACATTGGAATTATAGAAAAAAAAACTTTTTATTGATTTATTTGTTCTTTATTTCAGCAATAATTAATAAATAATAATCATATAAAACAAATGAAAATTGAATAAAGAAGGAAAGCTAGGAGCATTTGAATAATGTCTGAGAAATTTGAAAGTAGTTGAAGAAGATACTAGAATCTATCTCTCGAATGAGACATGAGAAAGTAATGATACTTTATATTTACAATAAATAATTGACCCTCATATTATGAACATACATCTAAAATTTGCCTTCTGATTCACTAACTTGGGTGCGGATGTGAGTGCGCACAAGAATAACACTCACATTCACACCCTTATTAACGAAATTCACGATTCTCGATTGAGCACTTCACCTTTGATCAGGTCATGGCCCACATATAATAGCTCTTATAACTTGTTAGTAAGTAGAGTCGATTGATTTGTTTTTTCATCAAAGTGATCGATGCCATATTTTTGTCTCAATTCAAACAATAGCGTGTGATTGAAAGGACAAGTGATATTAGCTTTTTCATCTATAAAATCCGCAGTTTGCCACTGTCTTTGCTCATGCACAAAATTCTCAATCCATATTTGAGCACACTGAAAAGATGCGTCAGTCGTTTTTGAAGTTACAAGTTGACAAAAATTTGGGTCTTTCTCACATATTTCAACAAATAGTTGCCCATCGGGTGCCAAATTTTCCGTCGGATTGACCGGAGACAGAAATCTGTCTGTGATAAGTTCTGCTGCATATCGAATCAGCTTTACTAATTCTACTCGCTTGATTCCATCTCGACGTTCATTGATTGGATAGTAAAAACCCTTAACATATGGCGTACCAGATGTCATATACTGTTCGAGAAACGATGCATAAGCTTTTCTTGATTTTTCTTGTCCTCATGGAAGTAAACCACCGAGATTAATACTCACTGATACATCTGATAAAAATGTTTGAATACATCTGACCTGTACCTGACCGTGTCATATGAATGCCCATCGATCGTAATGATCGTAATTGAGAGATAAAATTATTTTGACTCAATTCAGGGTTTAGTACCGGGGGAATTAATTCGAGTAGAATCAATTTGAGGCATTGTGTCATTAAGAATTTTGACTTGATAATATTGAATATAGGTAATATTTACTAGTGGTCAAACTAATTTGCTCGCATTAGTCATCATACTTGTATTCTGATGAATCATAGTATAATAGTTTATTTCGTCCAATGCTAGATTGATTTCTGTTCGATCAGCTTCCGAAAATCGCTTATTATCGATCACGCAAGCGTAGACTATTTTATTGAAAGTTCGTTTTCTATTTGACTTACTTGGTCTTAGTATCGGTGGAATAAGACCGTGTTGGATGTACATTCGATCACGAAACAATCTAGAACCATTCATTTTTACACCACCAGGTAATTGTAAAGTTGGCTGTATACAACGTTGACACATCATGTCACTACCCATAACAAGTTCATCAAAAACAAACCATCGATCAGTAGACATATTGTTTAGAACATGATCTTTGACAATACCGAGATCAGCGAATCGACTGTAGATATCTTCACTTCAACAGTTCTCACACATGTCTAGTGAACAGAACAAACGAAATGGACGAAGATGCCGCGGAGGAAAACGAATCAGTGCTAAATAAGCTGGATATAGTCCATCGAAGAGTGCATGACCGATATTACCATACCAGGATTGACTGGAAAAAGGGTTACACCAGGTATTACTGTCGGATCAGCTGCATCGCCAACAAATCTTTCCAGTTCAGAATACGAATGAAATTCTCGTCTATTCGATTCCAAGTCTTGCAGAACAAATGCATCATATCTTACATTTACATTTGGAAATTCTTTATCCTTCAACTTTAGAAAAGTGAAAGTACGATTGGCATAGTACAAATTTTTGTACAGATATGAGTGATTACGAAAAGAATCAACACATCGAACAGTCGTTTCCAAAGTTTCATCTTCAACAAGAAAATACTTATCGATCGAAGAAAACAAAGAATGATTGCGAAATCTGGTTGTGGTTATGTTGAAAGCTGACATTTGTTTTTGATCTACTTTATTATCCATTCAATATTCAGCTTCTGTACAATTCTGTCCATCATTGTAGTTGTATTCAAGCTGATAATTATTAATAGTGGGATCGATTTTTGTTCCGTTTCGTACAAGATACTCTTTCATGATAAGATATGTGACAGATGTAATTATTACCATAAAAGATATCATCAAATAAAAGAATCGCACTTTGCGGAATGCCGGTCTTGTTGTTCGAATCAAATTTTGTATCATCTATAAATTTCAAAAAGTTCACGATGAGTATGGCAGCTAAATACTACACTTAGCTACGGTAATGCCAGTAATGTACGAAAAAAACAGGAATTGTCTATATATTGGTGTGGGTGTAGAATTAGATAAAGAAAAGATCAACACCTATTCGCACAATCGCACCACACACCATACTTACCTCACATCGTTTTGTGGTGTAAACAACTTTTTACCTTCTCCTGTCTTATACGATGTGACTGATTGAGATAAGATTTTTCATAAAATTCACTATAAATTTTGAGAATTCCAAGTAAGAATTCTGATTACTACGGCTTTATGTTCTCTCTGTAGAATACTATTTCACTGTGAATAGCACTTCAAAATGTTGCCGTCGCGAACAAGAAAAATAACTTTTTTTTAAAGGCTGTCAAACACAATGGAATCCAATGAATTTTTTCTGTCTTTCTCCTCTTATTAGCTATCTTTCCATTAACAGAATGAAGAGAAACTTGACATTAGTATTTTTTCCCTATAAGTGCTGATCAATTTTTTAAGCCATAATTTCAATCTTTTTTCTTGGAAGTAGCCCATTTACAATAGCTACATGCCGTTTTTCTCTTGTTTTGATGCTTCTGCTGACTCATACACAGAAAGATATTAATCCCATGTCACTTCTTTTTTCAACGACTGCGTCGTACTTGTGGATGTAGGTGTTTATGCAGTTCTTCTTGAATCGTCGCTCACAATCATAACCAGACCCATATTTCATGCCAGTTGAGACAAGATTATGATAGACCTCGATTACATTCTATAAATGTATAACATATTCTATTAGAATTTTTGAGAAATGCTTGGTATCGTTCAACAACATCAATAGATGCAAATGGTAAGTATAGTTGCTGGTTTGTTATATTTTCTCTTTTTAATGTTTCGAATATAATTGATGTTCCATGAATAAAACATTTTTCATGATTAACTAATGTGCTCAATGGCATAGCAAATCCATGTACACAGAAAGAAATTATTTGATATAGACGAATCAATCTGTGTTCAGGGTATATATTTGTACGTGCATCATCGATTTAGACACATCCATACCAGACTCACACATACATCTCAGTCTAATACAACATTTGTAGTTCAGACTTTGTTAATTCAACAACAAAAAAATGGATTGGTTTAGAATGTGGCGATATGGTCTAACATAAGTTGGTATTTTTGCCAAGACTTTTGCATCGCATGTTATGTTATGTTTGTAAATAGGAACAGAACATTCTGAATTCTTTTGCACATTATATATCAATAAAAACAGCCCAATATTTACCTATTGATTTAAAAATACACAGACGAAAAACTAATATAACATCAACCGAGCACATGTTTTCATAGTACATAAATCAACAGAATGCATTGTAGCACGCAATTATCAACTTTCTCAATGGCAATAGTCATCACAACACTTATGAATAATTATGTAAAATAAAACGTAAATTCTTTTTCGTAAGAATACTTGTTAAGAAATTTATGTTTACTATATTACGATAAAGCTGGTTTTTTCCAATGGAGAAAAAAAAACATTATGACTCATATTTATTCTTTCTGTTTATATCCAACATAGTCATGCAATAATGTGTTATTGCGCAATCTTTTCACATATAAAGAATAGTTCTCTTAGTTTTTTTTTCATTCATCATTTTTCACCAAACATAATGGCTTGCGTAGCACACAACTCACATTATCGTCATCTATTTGATGCTGTTGTTAATGAACTTCGAAAAGAAAATCGTATTCCGGCATGTAAATTGCGAAATATGCCTCGTCAATGTTGCACATGTAACAGTCTTGACAATCAAACATTAACAACAGTTGTTATTGATGACAAAAATAAATTGATCAGTTTAGAAAATCTTACTGATCGAATAGATCGAAATGAAAAATCCGATCCAAAACTTATTTTATCATTAAATAGATTAAAAAATTTTATAAAAGAAAATCGAATTTTAGATATAAATGTATTATCAACATCAACAGTTGATAATGAAATCAATCATGAAACTAAATCTGAATTTGAAGATTCCTTAATGGATATCGATTCTCCATTATGCAACGATAAAAGTAAACAAGCAAAACCACTTAAAAATGGAAAATTTCTTTTTTTACCATATAAATTTGAAAACAAACCAAACACCGATACATTACTTGAAGTTGCAAAAAAATTGCAACGTGGTCGATTTATTGGTCGTAATGGTTATATTGCATCATTAGAAAAGGAATATAATGTTTGTATTAATATGATAACACCGAAAACAACTATACAAGTTAAAAAAACACTTGAAAATGCGAAAGCCGCTATCGGAAATGTAACCATTCATAATCGAACAGATTTGCCAGAGATAGAAAACGGCGAATGGATATTAGTTCGACACAAGAAAAAAACTGTAGATAAATCAAGTACAGTTGATTTAGAAACATTAATAGATGATCTAACAGATCGATGGTCAAGCTTTTTGACGATACGAAAGCGAAAATTTGACGAAGAAAGTGACGAAGAAAATGAAGAGCATGTGAATAAAAAATAACTTTGTTGTTTATTTTATATTAGTTTTGTGTTTTTTTTAAATCATTGGTTAGTAATTTTCTGACTTGATATTGACAAATAAAAATATAAAAATCTCTATATCATAAATGTTTTATCAACTCATGAATTTGTTTGTTTATAAGTGAACCAATTTGAATGATAGGAGTCATGTGTTAACTGCAACGATTGACCTGATATCTTTTGGAATGCATTTAAGAATCGGAACGAAGAAAAAATTCTTTCGACAAGAATAATTCATCTTTCTGTTTTTCTTTATTAAGACTTTTGGGTCATATTTGATCTATAATGTGTTTCCTTGAAAGTCATATTCCACTTTCTCTGAGAAAACCTCTGAAGAGTTTCTAGAAAAACTCATAACTGTTAAAGCCAATTCCAATGGTCCCATTCACTATGATTTGACTTTGTTCTTTGGTTCTTACCAACCGAAATTCACTTTAGACCAAAAAGTTTGCCATTTTTTTCGAAGATGATCCCACTGGTCTCGTTCAATAAACCTCATCTCAATGGATGATTTCCTCAGTTCCTACACTAACTCATATCGAAACGGTGAGTTAATGCCGAAGAGGTTCACACACGAATTTAAGCCATATTTATTACTTAGAAAAGAAATTAATCTGAAAAACAACCAATTATTTCTTTTTGAATCTTAATTATCTTGTATACTTGTATAGATAAAAAATAAAATAATGAATTTATTCCTCCACGTCGTCATGAATTTTTTGGAAGTTTCTCAGAGCGTTTCAGTCTTTTTCAACACTCCCTAATATTAGAAAACTCTCTAGGGACTTTTCAGAGGTTTGACATTTTTGGAACAAGTTCCTGACAATTGTACTATGGTAAGTTGGGTATGGGTATGTGTTGATGTTGATGAAGATGATTTTGGAATGTAGGTTTGGATGAAGACAAACCAATGAGCACACCCACATCCACATCCTAGATAAAAATTAGTATTGTGCTATTTATTAACTGCAATTTCTACCCAAATTCAGTCACACCTATATATAGATGTTTTCTACGATTCTTTCATTCAAAGTCAAATGAGAGTGAATGCATATTGTAATAGGTATTGTAAGACGTATTCTAATGCGTAAGATTAGCTCTGTCTTTGCTTTTAAATCATCCAACTTTTTAATGGATGTCCAATGATACTTTTTATGTAACCTTCTTCTTTTGTGTTTCACATGCGATCTGATAGCTATTATATGAATCTTTGAGAATTTATTAATTTCATACAAAGTCTTCTAGGTGTGGATGTGAGTGTGCCTGTTGACTCTGTGTTCACTCAGACCTGCACCGACACCCACATCTAAAACAGTGAAGCGGATTCTATTGAAATAGATATTAGTGATTGTGTATTGTGCCTGCTGTTTGCTGATTCTTAAATGAAACGTTCTAGAACCTTGAGATTTGGTAACAAGATAGCTAAGAGATACTTATGTGTACACACAAAGGTTCATTGAAAACTAATGACGCTAAAGTGTGTAACTCAAGGTTTCTTGAAAACACTATTTTTCATTGTCTAGTGGATCACATTTCAAACACATCTTGAAGCCTCCAACTTCACGAAAACGAATTTTCTTTTTAACGAAAAATACTTCACCTTCTGATAGGTGAATTCGATGTACAAGTTCTTATGGACCCAATTTTTTCCAAACGCTTTATAAGAGTAGGGAATTTCATAATAGCTTCTTTTTTCGTGGACATCCAAATAGCTGAGAAAACCGATTATTTCAAAGGACATGTAGGGGTACCTCCCTTCCCCTTAAGCATTGTGTCGTCATACACTTGACGACTAAAAACACAAGAACTTCGATGAAAATAATCAGTGTTATCATTGAAAATTGACTAGATTAGTTTTTAACATCCAACTTCTATGCATAAACATCTATGACTGCAGATCAACATTATATTAATTTATTAAAAGATTAAAATAGTATATGCTAATGAAAGAGCCAATACTCATCACGTACAGATCAATAGCCTAGTTTGTCAACAATGTAATTGAAGATATATTTTTTTTGAGAACTGTACAAAAAACAGGATCTTGCATTTGAAAGACTTTTTCGGCTAATTTAATATTTAAAAGTGAAGATAAATCTAGTCGACGTTCTTTATCAATTGTATTGTAATAAACGCCAACTTATGAGTTTTCCATCACCATATGCACCTGTATAATATTTATTTATTTAACCAAAAAAAAAACATTTCATGTGTTAAATTACCTAATGTTGGTAAATGTTCGATTTGATATTTGATTTGTCCAAGTGAATCTTCTGATTTATCAGCCCAACAATCATTAATAAGATTTGCATCTACCACTGATAATTGACGAATATCAATATCTATTTAGAATATATCATTATTAGTAGAAAAGATACTTTTGATTATCAACAACAAATCCTTAAGAAAAGAATACAAAAAAATTAGATATAAAATCATAATTTAGTTTTATATAGTTTTATCTGTGAGATATATAGATCAATTGAAATCATCTTCTTATTATTGAGCAACATATGTTGAAAAAGATTGTACTTCTCTTCTGTTTAATTCATCAAAGAGTAAAAGTTTATAGGGCATTGATGTAATCGCCATTTGAGTATTTAATCAAAAAACTTAACATAATAAAACGTTCTCGATTTTATTTCAAACATATTGTATTAATTTCAAATTACAGTACAAATTGGACTAGAGAATAGACCCAATAGAATTGCTACTTTTCTCTAGAAAATAAGTAACAATATAACAGACAATTGTCGACAAAATACTAAGTCTGATCACAGAGAAAACATTTAAAAATACTAGATTTTTATTCAAAATCAATGTATTAGTCCAGACTCTCTGAAGAAAAAAAGAATCTGTTTGAGTGAAATATAAGAACTTATACATGTCTTTTAATTAATAAGCAAACTTTTAAACTTACCATTAGGTATATGGTGAATTTTTGATTTTGCTTCTTCTAATGTAGATCGGTCGATTTCCATAACAGAACAATGTTCAATTTTACTTGAGTTTTTGTTCATTATTTATGTTAATAAGATAAAATGAATCTACATATTAGAAAATTCAATATGATTTGTAATGTGTCTTCGTTAGAGATATCAACTTACAATATTTCGCTGTTAGCTGACATGAGCGTGTGAACTATATAATAGGTGATTTGATGATATTAAATATAACGAGAAAAACCAATCAATGGCGAACGCAAGTTCCACTAATTAACTTTGGTGAACCTGACTTTTAAGAGCTCATATTTATAATAAATAAAGTAGAACATAAATATAGACTAATGATGCTACTAATTTCTTCTGATCAACTAACACTTGGAAGTTATCGACGAAAACTATGGAGTTGATTTTGTCGACATCTAACGTTGCCTAGTTCTTATGTAAAATATATCTCATATTTATACTGAACCAGCATTGTAGAGTAACGTCCTCACCCACATAAAACTATGGTTATTGAAAAAAATAACAACGCAATTTATAGAGAATTTATTTTCAGGTATGTCTACCGTATTTTATCTTCTGATACCCTTCATAAAAACTAGATGCCTCTATCGTAGCACACTCACCATTGATTTGATGATTAATCGGGATATAATCATAGACTAGATATAAACCAATATGAAATTATCACGATCATTAAACAAAAACCAGATATCAATATTCAATCAAATTGGTTCCTACATTTGAACCATTAGAATTCAAAACTATTCAAAGCGATAAAGTAGACCCCATTCACAATACACAAAAAAATGGATGAGCTCAAACTAAAATTCAAGCAAACGTAAAAGAATTACTCAAAAAATCTACGAAAAAACGAATCTGGCAAATGAGTTTGAGATTTTCCTCTCGATCTATCACTCGATTCATTTTTCGAGCGTTCAAAAATACATAAATCGATGCAGAATTTGATTGTCTATCAGATGATCAGATCATTTTCTCTTGACAAAAGTTTTGAAGAAAAAAAAATTACTAAGAACTATGCCAAATTATATTCGAATGTTAATCATATTCATCACATCAGTATTACTACATGTCCAATCGTTGGTCTAGAGAGAATGATAGATGAAAATGATAATTGAAATAATATTGAATCGAATCTAGATGGGTAGCAGTGTTGATGTAACGAGTACCACTAGTCTAAAAATATGATAATAAATATATTTTATTAATTTTTTTTCTCTTTTATGATCACTCGTCAATGGAGAATAATTGGTGTGAATGATTGTAGAAACAATAGGATTAAATCGATGGCATTCTTGCCACTCTTTTTTCTCTTCTTTTTGCCTACTTTCGTTTGTTCTTCATCAAAGTCTCAGCTTGATTCTTTTCTTTCTGCGTTTATGCCAAAAATATAACAGAAAAGCGGAGAACAGAATTTGTTCAAGTCCTCAAACATAATGAAAAGATATGAAAAATAATACTAACAATCACCAATCACATAGTCGAGTATCACACATTAGATGAAGATGAATGAGAGTGACGCGCAGTTGCTTTTCATGAATCTCTCTTATTGAAGTGTTCCTCATTAAAAATTCTTCAGTCCTCAATGTAAAAGAGAAATAATACAATTATAATGAATGTTGACTTCGCATTGTTGCTAAACAAATACATATACATGTATATATAAAGAAAAAATAAAATGCGATGCACATTCACTTTTCACGAGGGGGAACAGCTGGGTCTGTGTGTGTGGATCTAGCGAAGGTGCACACCTACTCAAATCCGTACATCCATCCACATCCACCATAAAGATGGCCCGTGGTGTTATAAATGCGAAGGAAAAATAACTGAGACTTCAGCCTTGAAGTCCGCTATTGTCCCCTCGAATAAGTGACATCAAGTCATTGTAGAATGGAGCGCAAAAATAAACACAGAGACATATCTATATCGAACAGGACTTCTTCTTTTCAATCATTGATGTTAATATCTGCGATGTCAGCACAAAGGGTGGGGCGAATGACTATGCGCTTCATATGTTTCCTAATCCAGACACATCTCATACATCAATGTCATCCGTATGAAATCATATTGACTTGACTATCGGCTACCTAAATTCTCTTTTCTACTTTCATTTCACTCTATTATTCGCTCCATATTTATTTTCATCCTTTCTTATGCTTATGCTTGAATAATGTAGCATAAAGTAAAGCTCAAAAGAGTGTTTTATTCATTAAAAAATAACACGAAACGCATCGAGAAAATGTAACGCTGCATTTTTTTTATTATCCTAAATTCAAGTACATTTATTTTATTTTGAATTTTATTTTCGACTTTTATCAATGGCTGAAAGAGTGTGGGGGTGTGCATGCATGTGAGTGTGCCTGTTGACTCTGTGTTCACTCACACCTACACCAGTGCAAAACTTTTCTTACAATTGGTATCGCAAGAATTCAACGATTCGCTTGCTTATAATGAACTATGTAACTTGAATCTATTAAATAAAACAGTTGAATAGTTGATGAAACTAATATTCTACGAATGATGTAATCAAAAATGACTTAACCATAAATCATGTGTTGCATAGTACATTGTTATAAATCGAACTATTTCTTTTTTTAATATTTATTTCTTTTTTCAATTTATTTGGATAATTTACGGAAAACTATATTTCACACATAAGAATATTCTATTTATACATTCAAGATTATTAGAATAATTTTCAACAGTTCTTGTTAATTGTTCTCGTGTGTAGACACAATATCTTTTAACTCTTTCATCACTTTTGATACAGCAGCTCTTGCCGGCAATTCAATATTTCTTTCACGTTGATATGTATGTTTTTCTTCACTAAATCTGATTCCTTCGACTTGTTGCTGAATTTGGGCTCCTGTGATCGGTAATTTATAGAGAGTAGTAACCAGTTCAAAAACTTCGTTGGGGTTTAGGACATCGTTCGTATTTCTAGATTGGTTTTGCTCTTTTAATGTTTTTTTCAAGAGCTCAATATTCTCTGTAAATTCTTTCATCATGTTTACGAGACCAGCAATAACATCGGCGTTACTAGCTCCAACACTCTGTTTCATCTGTTCTTCACGAATAAAGTATTGAAGATATTCCAAAATATCATCATTTGTTGCTACAATAGCATTTGCATGAAGAAATATTGCTACCTTTTTATAAACTTCTTGAATTTTTGATGCTTCTCCTCGTAAATCGCTAATACGTTGATCAATGTCACTCAAAGTCATAACAACACGTTTTGTTTTATGCTCATAAGTGATATGCTTATGTTGCAACCAGTGACATCCACATATTCCACAGTCACCTAAATAAACAAAATCGAAATCATATAAAAGAATTATGAAAGAATTTTCATATTATTCAAAATAAAAACTCGTATTTGTATTAGACGACTCGTCATATTTGTTTCCTTTTTTTCTCGATAAACTAAATGTGCTAAGAAAATATTCAAGTGACTAAGAGATTTACAATTCTAATCAATAGTATAGAAATCAATGATTGCATAAAAGGAATACACCTCATGAGACTAGAAGGAAAGAATTCCATGATGCATCTATTTCAAGTTATAGGTTATATCACTTGATATAGCAAGGTAGAAAAAACAGAAAGTTTTGTTTCTTCTTTTTCATTGAATGATGATAACTGCAGGTTTCTAACTTGTTCCTATCGAAAGATATTCTCAAGAACAACAGTTTATCCTCTATTTCTGTGTCTAGGATAGTTTTAATGATAACATTAATTGTCAAAAGTCTATTCGATACGTGGAACTTAATAGCATATTAAGATGAGGGATTATGACAATGATCTCAAGCTCTGGAGATCTGAAAAAAATGTACGAATGATCATCGTAAGATACTAATTTCTTCTTTTTCAATCAGCCATAAGAAAATCTTGTCCTCCGCTCTAGTACGAGAGCAATTTATATGTGAAACTCATGCGGCTAAATGCTTCATTCCTATTATCTTATAAGCAGATTCGTGAATAGTATCTGTTTCAATATTTTATGCATCATGGAAACCAAGCAGCAGCGTTTCTCTAAAAATTCTTCTACAGTTTTCAAGTCATTCCTCTGAAAGAGAAAGTCTTGATAAAACAATAATCTATCCACTCGTGCTCTTGATCGCATTGTGTCATACTCAAGGGGAAAACACCTGATTCCGGAATTCCAAGGATTCCAAGGATTCCATGGGATTCCAGAGATTCCATGTAGGGATGCACCAGTTCCAGTAGACTGGGTGCCCAGTCCAACTGGGTCCTTATCTAACATCTATCCTAGGAGGGGTCCTGGCGTCCTCATCTGCCAATCCTAGGTGAGGGTCTTGGGTCCTCATCCTCTATTATATGAGGGTGCCCTTGGGTCCTTATTCCCTATTACATGGCGGTATCCTTAGGTCCTCATCTCCTATTATGTGGGGGTACCCTTAGGTCCTCATCTTCTATTATATAGGGGTACCCTTCGGTCCTCATCTCCTATTATATGAGGGTATCCTTGGGTCCTCAAGTCCTATATTATGGGAGTACTCTTGGGCCCTTATCCTCTGTTATATGGGGGTACCCTTGGGTCCTCAAGTCCTATATTAGGAGGGCATCCTTAGGTCCTCAGGTCCTATATTATTGGAGTACTTTGGGCCCTCAATTCTCTATCCTAGGGGTTGGTCTTAGGTTCCCATCTGGCTATCCTAGGAGAGAATTTTGGGTCCTCATGTTCCTGTCCCAGAGGAGGGTCTTGGGTCCTCAAAAGTCTATCCTAGGACGATAGCCAAGTTCTTATGCGTTTAACAAAAAAACCGAACATTTCCGAAGATGTATCGTAAAAAGCTCTATAAGTTGAATAATATAGTTCATTATAACCGTTTTAAAATAAACAAAATTCTCTGCAACCAATTTGGGCGTATTCGAAATTTGTCCACCCAGAACTTTCTCCATTTTCAAAGATATATTCATGCCATCAACTTTGCAACGTTGAGCATGGCTTATATGCAATGGCTCCTAAACCAGTAAGATGCAAAATTCAGTATGATTCCTTCAATAAACGCATAAAGACTTGGCTTTCGACCTAGGATAGACATTTGAGGACCTAAGATCCTCCTCCGGGACAGGGACATGAGGACCCAAAATTCTCTCCTAGGGTAGCCAGATGAGAACCTAAGACCCACCCCTAGGATAGAGACTTGAGGACCCAAGGTACTCCAATAATATAGGACTTGAGGACCTAAGGGTGTGCTCATATAATAGGAGATGAGGACCCAAGGGTACCCTCCTAATATAGGACTTAAGACCCAAGCGTACCCCATATAATAGGGAATAAGGACCCAAGGGCACCCCCATAATATAGGACTTGAGGACCTAAGAGTACCCTCATATTATAGAGGATGAGGACCTAAGGGTACCCTCATATAATAGGGATGAGGACCCAAGGGTACCCTCATATAATAGGAGATGAAGACCCAAGACCTTCACCTAGGATTGGCAGATGAGGACCCAAGTACCCTCCCGGGATAGATGACAGATAAGGACCCGGTCCTCCAGTTTTGAACTGGAACTGGTGCATCCCTAATTCCATGGGATTCCGTGGGATTTCATGGGATTCCAATGGACTCCAGGGATTCCAAGGGATTCCAAACCGTTGGAATCTGCCGTTTCCCCCTTGGTCATACTTTGGTTTGGTCTGTAGGTTTTTTGGCTACTGGTGATACAGAAGGCAATAAACAACTGTTTTACTCTCAAACTATTGCACAGCGCATTATCTATGTAGCTCTGAAAAATATTAGCGGTAAGTTATTTTCGTACCATATATATTGATCGAGAAAAAAACTTTCGAACCTTTACCTTATCGTACCCTAGTTAGAACTTGTATTCTTACTCAACTGGATATAATGTTTCCTTTTCTTATTGGTTTTTGAAATGCATTGATAAAATAAATATTGAAAGAACAAAATTTCAAAATTTTCACCTGATCTAGGATCCATTGCTGTGCAGTCTTGCAATTTCTCATCATATAATGTTTCTTGTTTGACGCCTTTCAAATAACACTCGTCATGACATATACATATATATTCAATTTGTTTTTCATTGTTTACATCAATCATTTGACAACAATTTTCACCCACACATACTGTTCGTGGATGTTTTAATCGAGTAACTACAGCAATATTCTGTGGTATCCCTTGTGATGCAAGTTTAGGATTTTCTAACACTCTCTTTTTATGATCTTTAGCAAGTTGAATATTTTGCTCGATAAGTTTTGATGTTTCAGCAATTGGACGTGGAAGCATACGAACAAGTTGTTCAGCTTCATTCAGTGAAAGAATAACAGATACGGACTTCAATGAACGTGTAACCAAATGTCTCATAAGACGACAATACTCTTTGACTGAATGATCCCAACTTCTAATATAGCTTTGTGTTTGTAGTTCATCCAAAGTGATACCATTTTTACGTAGTGCTAGATAACGAAATGGTTCATTATCAAATAAAAATGTATTGTTCCTTGAAAATGGTACTTCAACACCATGGTCTCTTTTATGTTCCTTCAACATAGTTTGAACAAGTATTGTTGTGTTACCTGGTGCATAAAAAGTTGGTCGTGCATTTGTAAAGATAAAAATGATATTTTCTTTGGAATCTACAGGTAAATGTCGAAGTAGTTCATTGAAACAGAAACGAAAAGGTATAGTTAAGCGTTGTTCGTCTGGTTTCAGTAATATACACAATCCATTCAAATGTTTGTATTGAGCGATATAAGATAATATTTCGGTAAAATTTCTTTTATCTTGTTCAAGCCCTCTCGTATCGCCGATGCCTGGAGTATCGATTATTCGTAGATTCCAATCATCAATTTGGAAAACAAAGCTTCGACACAGTTGCGTACCTGATTCACCTGTGTGACTAAATTTCTCATGTTCGTCCTCCTCACCGATCGTGATTAGTGTCTCACCAAAAGACTCTGGTGAAGTAAAAGAAAATGAAGAAGGAATAATGGCTTGCATTTCATTTTCGACTGCTTGTAGAAGAGTATCACTAACAATGTAGTTCGCAAAAGCATTAATAAATGTTGTTTTACCAACTCCTGTTTGTCCCAATAATAGTATGTTTATGTCTCGATCTTGAGAGCAATCCAGCTTTGGCTTCAAAGTAGACCCTTCTTGTTTTGAAACTCTTCTTGCCATTGTGATTGATCACTAGGAGATTATTTTAAAAATACTAAAATGAACGAATTTTCATGAAAAATATTGTTCGAAATGACACAATCTATAGAGTCACAGATAAAAGATAAATAATCGAAGCAAGGTGATGTTTTTTTTCTTAAACATATATATTTGTGAAAAGAAGTACAAAGTTCGTCAGACAGTTGACAAAGTTTCTTTTTTTTTTGTTGCTTTCTGTTCTTCGTAATCTATGTGCAAATGCATGATAGAAGAAAGAAAACACAGATAAACAACACAATATTTGTGACTTTCAATTCGCTCTGTCAGTTTTCCACATTATATAGGTCGACATATTTTTCATTTAAATTTGTTTCTAACCAACATTCTATTCAGGTGGCGTATTAAGTGAGCTAAAACATGGCTATCAGACTTACATCAAATCAATAAGAAGTTTAATTTTTCGTTGTTCTTTTCGAAATTTTCTTGATGCAGCTGATTTTAACTACCTACTGGCCATGTATTCTTATGCAATAAAGTAAAAGAAAAAAGTAAATTTTACAGACATGCAAAGAAAACCATGTGACAACCACCATTGTTTTGTTGACATTTTCAACAGTGGGCAAATATCGAAGATGGAAGAACAAAAAAGTGTTTTTTTTCCAATTTACATTTTAAGATTTCATAAGCAATACATTTACGCAGATATTATATACAAACAACAATATATGTTAAGCATGGTGTTGACTCATTTTTTTCAGCGAAATACGCTTATCAAACGATCTGAGCAACGTGATATTTTCCTAAATAAAGTCACTATTCATATATAGTATATCAAATCGCAATGTTTCGTGGAAATATACAGAAATAGACATTTTCCTCGTAAGTTTGATTCCTTTTACCTGTACAAGTAAATTCAACATCTATCTTCTTCAGTTATTACTAATAACATTACTCTATCATAATAAGCTTTCAATTGTTTCGGAAAACATTGTTGGTCTTATTGGAAATGCACGTAAGGGTGCGATATTTTTGGGATATCTATCTACATGGGTTTTACAGAATATCAATCACGAAAACAAAATTGATTTTCTATTGTGATGAAATATTCAGGATTTGAAAACTCTCGATTCGACGTATTTTGGCTAAAAAAATTTGTAACAAGGCGTCACTTTGATGGAGATCTGTTTAGGATTGCATAAATCAGTAAATCATAACGATGCAGAAAGAATGATTTTTTTTTTCATCGGATTTTCTCATACTGTTTTGGGTAGTTTTGCACATTAAAACAATGTTCATTTGAAAAGAATCATACGAATAAAGTCAGATGAGCTACACATGACACAAATCGTAAATACAACATTTTTTTAATTGCATTTAATTTCATTACAAGAGTTCAATTATTGTTCAGTTATTTATACGTTTTGTTATCAATAATACTTTACACCATACTAATCGTAATTTTTTGAATACATCAATTGCCTTGTTTAAGATTATTTGTTGAGATTGATTCAGTTTTTTCATAAACTGATCATATTGATATTGACTGTTGGAATATATATCTACAACATATTTTTGGTACTCATCATCACTGACTTGATTTCGTGTCGAGTTACTATTTAGGCATGAACCAGCTTCGATTATTTCAAACTCTTTAAGAATATCGATGGCCATTTGTTGATCTTCGTCGTTGATATAACTGATCAGATCATCCATGAATTCTTCACGTGAAGTAACGATTTCTCTAATTTCAACAGTGAATTTTGCGGGTGTATGTGGTTGGACAGTGGGTGAAGTCGTGGATATGGATGTAAATAGTTAGAGTAATCACGTCCAACCACATCTCACAATCACTCTCACACCCCACACCCACATCTACTCACACCCTCAACAGCTACATGAAAATCGACAAAATCATGAGTTCGATGAACTCAAACAAATTGCTTCAAAACCAGATATTTCTGATGAAGAGCAATAGTTAGCTGTTGCTCGAAAATACTCAGTTTCAAAATATTTCGATAAACGAATGTTTGATTCGAATTATAATGTATTCATAGTCTTCATGAAGTTTGTATGATGATGAGTTATTCTCTTTGCTATTAAGAGTCTCGAGTCATCAACTATCTGCCAGAGTTCGGCTCTCGACACTTGATTGAATTATTTAACCTAGATGTATTTTCGTTCCATATCTTTAGATAAAAAAATAAGTATTGATTATAATAATTTCTGCTTGATATGCTGACTCTATGAGAGAGAAAGTAACATTTCTTCGTTGATTAGTTCTTTGTTGAATGCTGAAATATTTTTAAATATGTTTGGAAATAAGAACGTTCTCTCACAGTTAACAAAAAAAACCTTAGTTCAAGAAAACAAAGAAAAAAAAAGCAAATTTATAAAAGCAGGTTTTACTATTGAATTGCTATATTGGCTTATGTCCATAAGAGAATTGGTGCAATACCTGTAAAACAAAAGATAAAGTGAATAAATTAAAATAGATTCTCCTCATAGAGACAAAAATATATCATCGTATGATTAAACTATAGGAGAAAAAAAATAACCTTCTGATGTATTCCATTTTGGCATGATAACATCATCGGCTAGATATTCTATTGGAAATTCTACAATGAAACCTTGAATTTTTTTACATTTATCATAAGCCTATAGAAAAAAAAAGAATAAAAACAAATAAACATATGAAATAAAAGACAGCTATACTGTTTGAGGATCAGTTTCTTTTAATTTCGATCGTTTTTCATAAGCCTCAACATCAGTAAATTTTCGTATTTGATTGGTCGGTAATGAATTAAATACTTCTTCATAAATTTTAGTATTTTGCTGTGCTATTCGACGAAAATATTGATAAAATTCATCTGAACATGGATCATCAACATTGATCTCTTCTTCATTTTTTATACCTAATAGTAGTCTTCAAAAATAAACAAAAGAACAACACTTAATTAGACAAAGAAAAAGAGAATACTTAAAACCAAGAAAAAAATACCTGAATAATTTCTTTCGCCATGATGAACAGAAAAGTCCAACTTTTTCCTTACGTCCATTTAGATATGAATCGATCATTTCAACATCATTAACAACTAAACAAATTTCTGAATCTCGAGAACCTTGAAGTGAACGATCATTAATATTAGCCGATCCACAAATACACATTCGATCATCCACAATCATTAATTTCGAATGAACATAAATTATTTCTGTTACCTGAAAATACATATTCTTTCATCTAATTTAAGCTCCTCCTCCCCCCCTATAAAAATCGATCGCAAGCCAGGAACATCCAGATTACAGGAAACTTTCAGGATATGTTGGAGCTCGTTAGCCATGTCTATGATAAAATTATTTTCAGCCTTATAGCATGATGTTTAACAGAGATATTCATCAAATAAGGGTGGAAAATATTTGGATAGTAGCGCACAAATTTTCTCTGTAGGCCTTCATTCTAGTAATTGAATTTTCTTTTTTGTTTGAAAGAGCGTGTCAGAAAGCAGCTCCTCTCGTCGCTCTTCTTTTTTAAATTCTTACTTTTTAAGCGGAAAAAAGAAATGATAAGTTCAATGACTCAAAAAATCCCTTAAAAAACGGCACTGTTTCTATAGAGGTGTTCTCTTATATGATAATAAAAAGGCTTATTTTCAAAAAAGAAAAAGGGCTACGAGAGGGACAGTTCTAGACACAAGCTTTCAAACGAAAAAAAGAATATTTGACTTTATCTTTTACTATGATAGAGTTCTACTGGCGCTACATTTTCGAACTGAGGTTCTGAGAAAAACGAAAAATGATTTTCGTTTTTTCTTGTAAAAACAGCTTGTTTTTCGAATAGGGGATGACGAGCTATTTTCCCATGAATTTATCTTAATTTTCATTATTTTGACGAAAAGTGACTTTTTTAGCGGAAGGAGGGGGGCTTAAATAGTAAACAGTACTTACTAAAGTACCCATTAATATATCCCAATTTCGCATACCATAAAATGTGATATAATCTTCAGGATTGGATACACCTATTTTTTTATCGATTATTTACTTGTGATTTATTAAAATGATTAACATACTTACCATTCTTTTTTAATCTTTGATAGAGTGACATTTCACCTTTATTAATCGATCTCATAATAAAATAAAGTACAGCTTGAATAGTTTTAGCATTAGCAAAACCAGGTAATAATGGTAATAGAATATATATTCGAAATCTTTCTTTATTAGAATGTGCTCGTATTATACGTCGATAAAGAGCATCGCCAATATGATTTTTAATTGCTGCATCTTCAGGAATTGTGACGAAAAATTGATTCTGTTTTTTTTTTCAATTTAATATTGTGACTTTCGAACAAAAAAAAAATAACTACAATTGGAAAAGAACTTACTTCAATATAAATAAAATGTTGAGCATTTTCAATCATATGAATATAGGCATTTTCAACTGATCGTTCGACAGTACAAATTCCACATGACCAAAATGATGCAGAACGAACACATTGAGCATCGACACGAATCGGTGGTCGATCATCCGGAAGAATTGAACGAAGAAAAGATGTATCGAATATTTCATCATCATCACATGTTTTTGGAAGAAGATAAGGATAAGATTCATTGAAACGATGTTTATCTGCCTAAATAATCATTAAATTAGATAATTATTTTCTTAGTACTAGCCTATAGATGAGTCAAGATCTTCTAGTAGAATATTTAAAAGAATAAAAAAAAATGACCTTGTGAATATTCCATCGTTGAATAAAATGTCTCGCACAATCTCTTGCTGCTTCACCTAAAACAACTAATATTTCATCATGCCATGGCATACGTGGTACAAGTTTTCGATCAATATAATCTAAATCAAGAAATGATATATTCTCTTAAAAACGAGAAAAAAAAATAAAAACCTTCATCAAATTTTTCAATAGATTCAAAATCTTTTTGATAATAATTTGAATAATCTTTGCCCAAAAAGAATCGATATGTGTCATCAACTACAGATGTAACACCAAAAATTGTTTTAGGTTTCGTATCTGATGATTCATTGACAGAGGCGTCTTGTTCTTCATCTGATGAATCGTCTCTGCTATTCTTACTCTTTATCATCTATCATTCAAGCAGAAGAAAGAATAATAATACTCTTCAATAAAAATTACTTCGACAATTCGTCGCCATCGATTTCCATATTGATTAGGTCGACATTCGAATTCGTTTTCTTTAGCTAGAAATTTCTTCTCGGCACTGGTTAAACTATTTTCAATTTTTGTTGCGCCTTTTCAGTCAAAAAAGAAAAAGTAGACAACTGTTAGAAAAGTATAAAGAAAGAATATTACCAGTTGAATCGGCCGTATTTTCATCGGTGATTTTTCTACTATTTCGACGATTAGCTATTCTCATTAAGATCAAATAGAATATTCTTCAGAACGATTTATTGAACATAAACTTACTTGAGAGTTTTCTAGTGATATCTTTTTCAATAGAAAATAAAAAAAATGATTGTTCAGAATACAATTGAAATACATACTTTTGATAAAATTTGCTTTTGTTTCATCAGATGATTCTTGTTCGGAGTTTGTCGTTTGGTTCAATAGCGTGGACATCTTTATCAAAAATATCATTAAATAAATTATATTCAAATCATGATATCAGATTAAAAAAGTTTAAAAAAAAGTCTTAATCTTTTTTAACTCACTCAGTTGACAGAAAAAAAAGATGGATCTATTATATTCTTACTATGCCTTGATTGGTATTATTCTTTGCCATTTGCTTAGCTGTATCTACGGCAGCTTCTTCTTTTGTTGATTCTTGATCACTTTGATTTGCTAATTCTTCGGCAGATTTCAATTCTGTAATATTCTCATTACTCAAATCTACCAATCTATTCGTACAAAAAAAAAACATGAAAATAATCAAAGATTCGCAACTTTTTGATTATAAGTTGACTCACCGATGATCATCAGTATCCCATCGACCCCAACAAAGATCAAGTCCTCCAATAAAGGCTAATCGTTGGTCAATAACAACAGTTTTTTCATGATGTGAATAGAGAAATGACGATTCTGTTCCAGGTAAAACTCGATGATTAGGATGTCGAATAATCTTTAATATCAAACTGTTAGAATAATACGAAAAACAAAGAATAAAATCTACTTTGATATTTTTCTTATTTGGACTTTTGCTAACTAATTGCTTTTTTGTATGATAACTATTTAAACCAACAACTGATAGTATATCTTTGAATATCAATATATAAATACGAATACCTTCTTCCTATTTTCCTATTGTTTATAAACGACAAATATTCTCAAAAAAATCTATCGAAAACTTACAGCTCGTTTGCCGAGAAGATTATCAAGTCGCATTGAATCATCTTGATATGGACGAATAAGCATTATTTCTGGTGAAAGCCACCAATCGCTAATATATATCTCTTCACGTGCTGCTAATATTGCTTTGGCTAATGCTTCCATATATGGTTGACCATTGATAAACCTATGAATTGTGCAAATAATAAGGATTTAACATATAAATATATTTGAACGACATTTTTGTTTTCTTCTTTTACAAAAAAAAAAAATATTTAATAAACAAACCATTGTGCATATTGTTGTTGTCTTTGTGGTGCAAATGATTTAAATAGATGTTGTTGAGTAAAAAGTGATTTATTTTTAATTTCCATTAATGTATCGAACCATTTATCTCGTTCATATCCGCTTTGACATTTAATAACCATTAAACGTTGTAAATTTTTTATTCGAATTCCATTAGTTGTTTTGGTTTTTCGAAAACGTCGATCAATAGAAAATGCATGATCAACAAGCATTGGAAATCCAACAAGAGCCGAATCAATTTTCATATATACAATATAAGAATCTTTAATAACAAACCATTTTCGATTACGATGAAATTTAAATATATCACATGAAAAAAGTAATCGAATGAAGATTGATCGACCACGATAATCATCATTAGATCGTTTTAAAAGTTCAGCTTCTCTTAAACTTTTTCCCAATCCTCGTACAAATGAAAGTGGACTCACTCCAAGAAAATTTCTCTATTAATCAATAAATATAATAATTTAACAAAATCAATATTTTAAATATTACCATTGCACTATGTTCACGAAGTTTCGGATGTTTAAGTACTTTATTTAAATAATTTTGTAATATTTTCTAGAATAAAAAAAAAACAAAAAGATCATAAAAGAAAATAAAAAAAAACAAGAAAAATCTTACACATCGTTCATTTTTAGAAAATTCATTAATAAATGCAATACGATCATTTCGAGTTGGAAAACATGGTAGTTGTTTCTCTTGTCTGCGAATTGAAGAATCATGATCATCAATTGTTTCGGATGGTCTTACACTAAAATTTTCGAATAGAAAATATTTTCATAAGTTTATAATCATTTTTTTTCAAAATATAAAAAATCAAATAGGTAATTTTTTATTGAATGAAATCAATTTATTGTTCATACCTGTTCAAATTATTACAAGATTTTGCTAATTCTGATGTCACATAAGTTCGAAGAGCTTGGTGAAGATCATAAAAATCTTTATAACGTTTTTTAATTGTCCATTCAAACGTCGAACCATAACGAATAGTTATTGTATATCTATATTAACAAAATATTAGCGTCATATACTCTCTATATGATTGTTAATAATGTCAATAAAAGAAACTTACAGATAAGGATAGAGAAACTCGATTACTGGATGATGTATTCTCTCTGCTTCTATTTTAATAACTTGAACTGATTGACCCGGTAGGAATGTTTTATTGCATCGTAAGTATATCTGTTCTAATGGACATTGTTCATCTATGTTTAAAAAGATTAATGTATTAAAATATATAAGAAAATATTCAAACCATTTTTATCACTAGAAGTTTTCTGAAGAAATTCTTCAGATTCTTCATTGAAATTCCAATCTGGATATGGTAAATATTCCATATGTTTTTGATTTGTATCATCTAAAAGAAGAACGACAAATTATTTAAATATTGTTCTCATTGTTTGAGAGATTCGACTGCATGAATATAATTCTTTTTTACGAATGCCCATTTCAAAAGAAAAGATGGATGGGTATTTTTTTTTAATAATTTTTGAACAGATTGAGCTAGAGAGTTGTGGTTTTCACCAATGGAAAGAGGAGATGAAGACGCATCGAATCATATATGAAAACATTTTCCTAACAATTTTAGTCAAACGTTATCAAAAAATGTTTGTTTCTCATACCTTAAAAAAAAGTGATTTTTCGTCGAAAAAACTACAAAAATTTGAATTTTTCTATTAATTTGTTGAAAACATTCGATAGTAAATTGCACTCCAATGGCTACTATATGTTACTGATAGTGGTTAGGAATAAAATTTTTATACAGTTTTGTAGTTCTTTATCTGGTGGTACTAACACATTCCTAAAAACCAATAAAGTAATATCGCGACTATGAGAAGTATGCTGTTTCTCTAGAAGCTCTATGTAAAACTGTTAGAAAAGTGTTTTCATGAATGGTTCGACGCGTCTTCATCTTCTCTTTCCAATGAGGAAAATCGCAGCTCTCTAACTCAATCCGTTCAAAAGTTATTCAAAAAATACTCACGCGCTTTTTTTCTTGAAATGAGCATTAGCGCTACGGAGCATCGAGTACATAATAAGTGTAGACTTACTTGCGGCCACAATCATTTTGCTTAAATCTGCTGTGTGTCGAATAACAACACCCACACCTTCGGATGAACCATTTTCATTCATTGATGGATTTCTAAAAAGTATTTCGGGTTAACAAGGTTAAATTAATGGTTTCTCTGCTTTTTTTTTATTCTCTGACCTTGTAGCAGTCAAACACGTGAGACGGTAGTTATAAATATCATCATGTACTAATGTTTCGTGTAGAGAATCAAGATAAAAATAAAGATTTTTCTTTTTCTTTTTCTTTTTCTGTCGCACAGGAAGAATAAAAACGTGTTGCATCTCCTGTCTCTTTCTGTAGACATAGAAAGAGAAATAATAAAGGTCGAGCCCTTTACAATTATTAATAAAATTTAATACTGTTGATTCCTTGAATTTTACAACAAATAAAAACAAACTATATAATCTTCGTCTTCATTCTCATATATACAGGTATACTCTAATATATGATGCAAGTTCTTTAGACTTTATAATTAGTAAATATGCTGTGTGTGTATAAAAAATTAAAGTTCATTAATATAACTGGAATTTTATTTGTACTTCTAGTTGAATACATAACTATAGTGATGATCACAAATCAAACAAATGCGTAAATCACATATAGAAAAAATTCAATTATTGCTAAACAGTAAAAACATAACAAATCACTTTGCTTCGTCTTGAGCAGCTTTTTGATCGTCCACAATTATGATCCATAAAGCAAATAAATTTCAAGTTTCCGAAGAATTTTCTGGTGCACTTTGTTCATCCTCACTGTCATCTAGATCAGTATCATTTGACTGGTTATCGGATGAAATATTGGGCTCTGTAATTATTGGGTGTGAATGTAAGGCGAGTATGGGTGTGTTTGGATTCATACAACACCCACCATCACTTACATTCTTCTTTTATATTTGAGCTCTCAATTTATCGAAGAAAAACGAACTTCGTAATACCTCCTTTTCGAGTACATATGAGTCTACAGTTTATCCAAGAACTTTTACAACCTTCGTTATTATCGATAATTCAATTTATGATATGTATAATACTTCTAATTTGATTAATTCAAAGCAAAAACGATAAGAATTTATTAAGATGTTAATATTTATTGTTTGTGAAAAACTGAAATATTTTTATTCAAATAAAAGAAAAGATGTATTCGAGAGTTATTTCACGGATTATAAATATAAATAATTGATATTTATTACAACGTGTTCTTGTTACATATAATGAAGAAAATAAATACTTTATTTTACTTTCACCGTTTCCAATCGATCTTATATATATTTTCAGGTGTATAGAAAGGTATTAATTTTCCTAACGCAAGTCGCATTTCATCAACTAATCGACACCAATTTGATGTTAATGTACCAACATGTAAATCTGCATTAGTTTCAATAAATAAATCAGTAAGAAAATCTAATATTACTTTTCCACGTTGTTCGCTTGTCATACGAGTTAATGACCCAAAAACAATATTTTTTTGTAGTGTTAGATTTAGTAATTTATAATAACCTTGTTTTTCTTTATTGATTTCAACAAATTCATTGAGTACTTTTTCATCCTCAGAATTAATATAAATCGTTGATATATTCGCTTGTCGAGCATTACCATCAAATAAATCAAAATATTGTTTAAGTGTATATACTTGAGACATTTCTTTAGTTGTAGCTTTATCTGATCGACGCACATATACAGCAATATAAGGATGATAAAAATCGATTGATGATAGGTTAAATTGTTTTGATATGGTATACTGTACATGAGCCAATGTTTCAGGTTTATATCGCATTAAATAAAACACCATTTGTACACGATACCAATTAAAAGTTCGATTTTGAAATACAGATGGAATAATAGGATTAGACCAATGACCAACATTAGCATCAATTGTAATTGTTTGATTACCATCAACTTTGGACGGAATTGAACAGTTAGTGATAGGAAGAAAAAAACAATCTGGTGTGCTTGAGTTACAATTCCCATAAAGCTAAAAAAAAATAAAATCTATCATCAACAATCAATAGAGATTTCAATAGCAAATTTTCACACTTTTTGTTATGCTTCGAATTTTCATTATGATATTAATAAGAAAAAAGACAGCGTATGGGGTCATTCTTCTAGATTATATAAGTAGTTTAAAGACTTGGTTAGAATACTATTAGGAACTATGTTTGTAGTTCTGAATAGTATCAATAAAAAATACTCAAGATCAATGTTATTCAACGAATAAACTATGGACTAGTAAATATACTGAGTTCAACATATCTGTGTAGAGTGAATCAAAGATCACCAGAATATCTCTTTTCTCTCACAATGACACATATTCAATTAGCAGATGTCATTGGACTTTATATGATTGCTAGGAGCAGGTGTGGATGAAACTAAGATTATATTTAAAAGACTTAGATGCATAGACCACCGAAGAAGAAATATGGTCATTTAAGTAAAATTGTTATTGAGATCAAAGCATTGCAGAAACAACTACAATAAAAACTTTCGCAATGTTATTTTGCTTACCTGTATTTCTGATATCCTTAAATAGTTCTGAAAGTTTCAACGTAAATTAACATGTGTTTTTTCGACATATTCGATTTTCTAGGATACTCGATTATTGCATTCATCTATCGTAAACTACTGCTTTGTTGGATTTTGAATATCTCGAGAAAGACACTTTACTTTTGCTTGAAATTTTTAGGACGCTATAATGACTATGAAACATGGATATATACAAGAGTTTGACTTGAAATTCTTTGTCTTAGATTTTTTAGGAAGTGTCCTGCTCTCAACAATAAACTACAGTTCTCTGTCAATAAACCATGTACCAGAATCCTTTTAAGCTTTACTTCAGACCCCTCAAGACCTACTAGTAGTAATACTGTTGGGTCGAACGACGTCCGCTTTCTGGATATGTTTCTTTGGCAATACATAGGGAAAGTACCAGAAATGCTAAATTCGAGTAGATTTTTTTCCTCGTTTCATTCATATATGATTTGATAGAGCTTCAAAAGCTGGTCATGCATATATACTTTTTGTTTCGATTTAATCACTGTTTGACTGAAAATAGTTTAAAAACTTTGAATGACAAAAAAACACCAGTGGACGGTAGGACCAATCAATCGGAAAACTATTCCATTTAAAGTAGAAATAGTTCACTTCACAAAAAATCATGCACAACAAGGAAAAATAAGAAAGCCAGAATGAATACATATACATCTATGGCTCAGCCTTTCTGCGATGAACATTTCCGTATGTCATTTGACGTCACCTTTTAAAGGTAGAAAGGCAGTGAGGATATCCTCTTGAAATAGTTCTATTTCTTCTTGAAAAAAAAACTATTTCTACTAGAACTCAAGTAGAAGATGAAAAAGAAAATGAATGATATCTTACTATGTGTTTTCTAATGTTTCTGACTATGACAGTAGAAATTGATCAAGCCTTTTTGTTGGAAATGGTTCCATATAGAATGAAATCTATTTCTTGAGAAGCATTTCTTCTTAACTTTGCTGGAGGTGAATGATTTCTGCTGTAAATGAAATAATGTCTTCATTTTCAGAGATATTGTCTAGTCCTCCTGTAAATACCTTCATATGCTTGAAAATATGAATTGCTAATCAATTGTGTAAATCTATCTAATTTTTTGTGACAAGATACAATGATCATTGTCACATCTTACTCGAGTCGCCAGATTACGAGCTACAAAGGTATTTATTCATTTTTTTTTAAATTTTTGTTTTATTGCTCAGCGAATATAAGTTTTTCATTATTTGATGGTTAAATCTGATTACAAAAAGTGAAAAATGCGTTCGTGCCTAGCCATTTTTATTATCATAACTCAATTGTGGAGGTAAATGAACAGCATATTCGGTATCAGTCTCAAAATCTATATCGCATATGTTTCATTAAAAGTTGTTTTCAATGAAACGACAACTGCACTTTCCGTCAGGACTATTTTACTAAAATTTTGTCCATATTTTCTCAGGAGTTGAGTTTTCGTAGGATACGTTAATGAAGATGGTTAGGCACGAACGCATTTTTCACTTTTTTGTAATCAGATTTAGCTATCGAATAACGAAAAACTTATATTTCCTGAGCAATAAAACAAAAATTGTTACAAAAATTAACAAGTACTTTTGTAGCTCGTAATTTGACGACTCAAATGAGATATGACTATGATCACTGAATCTTGTTACAAAATATTAGATAGGTTTACCAAACTAATTAGAAATTCATACATTGAAGCATATGAAGGTATTTACATATGATAATTTGTTTTAACTCCATCAACTTTAACTACTTTCAAATACACTTTTTCTAGTGAATTTTTAAAGCTGAATTAGAATATCATATTTTCAACGAGTTCACCAAATAACTAGAATTGAAATTTGACGATATATATATAGAAAAAAAAGCAAATTCAACTTCAAGCTATTATTTTTTTGTCATTCAAAGTTTTGAAACTATTTTCAATTAAACATTGATCGAATAGAAATAAAAAGTATGTAATCATGATCAGTCTTTCAAGTTCTATCAAGTCATATGAAGAAGGGAAGAAAAACTTCACTCGAATCTGACATGTTCGGCATCTTGCTTACTAGATACTTGCCCAGGTACTTGACCATTTTCTATAGAATTCTAAGTATCTTACGACGAGTCAGATGAATAAACATTCAAAAATATTTTGCAGTCCATCACTAAAAATCCATAAAGTGTCTTACGATTTCTATGATATATTCATATCAGGAAACTCTGAACTTAGTATATTCACTAAAGCTTTGTGTCTTGATGTATTTTAATGTTATCGATTTATTTTACCCAATTTCCTGGAATTTGATATACGGCAATTCTATTATCTGCTATTGCCCTACCAAATGCCCATGCAATTTGATGAACAGTTGACCCAAAGCCAGACCAAGCATAATTTTGAATAATAGCAAATCGTTTATTCGTACAATTGATAGGATGCTGATGTTCGTAAAACCATTTTTGTGCCCACAATGTATTCTGTATTGAAAATTCATTTTTTGATGAATAATCACATGAATCAATTTTCTCAATTTTGTTTTCACGAACATATTCGATAATACGACATGGTAAAATATGTGCTAAACGGAAATAATTTTCATCAGCTAAACGCATTGACCAAAGATGTGTTGAATTGTATCCATGAAAAACTGGTTGTTGCACTTGTTTATTGCTTTGTGATGATGATTGGTTCATTTTTATATCTGACGAAAATAAAATGCCTACTTTACTTTTCCTTTCATCATAAGCTGAACCAAGAAGAAAACCACAGATAAAAACCAGCACAAATGCAAATGCACTCCGCACTGTTTTATTAGTTACTGTGTATAATGATTGATTACTTATCAAATGTTTCATAATGAATGATGAATTAAGGATCTGTAAAATAGAGAAAATGATTGTATGCTACTATTTCGTTAATTTTGAGATAATCGTTGAAAAATTTTTCGAGGTGAATTTCGATTTATATCACCAATCACTTGAATGATAAAATCTAAGAATAACCCACAATATAGGGTGTCCGAAGAGTCATTAGAGCTAGGAAAATTTGAATATCGTCATTACCGCTCGACAAAACGAGCTCATTTTTTTACCAAGGATAGAGGCATGTTCACACTCCAACTCCATACGGACAAGGATACTGAGAATCTTTGTAAGTATCACTATTGACCTCAACAAGAAAATTTTATTTTTTCACAGATAGAAAAAAAAACAATACACTTAACAAAGGTTCTCACTAACCTTATCAGTATGGATTTGGAGTATGTGAATATGCTTCTATCCTTGGTAAAAATATCAGCTGCTTTGCTCGAGCCGTAATAGAGATATTTAATTTTCTTTTCAATAAAATGTCTTTTGCACTATCCTGTATATTGTTTTTTTCCTACCTATGAAACAGTAAAATTTTCTTGCCGAGTTCAAGAGTGATACTTAACAAAGATTCTCAATACCCTTGCCCATACGAATTTGGAGTGTGAACATGCCTCTATCCTTGGTAAAAAAGTGAGCTCCTTTGGTCGAGCCGTAATGAAGATACTCTCTCGCGGACAAAAAAAACGGCCTTTTTCCATTTCACTTTTGCATCGCTTTACACTTTGTTTTAAAAAAACAAAATATACCACAAGATGCAGCGTGAAAAGAACTACAACCTACAAAGTAAAGCTTATTTTATTTGTGTGCTTTTTGCTTTCGAAAAAAAAAGCAAAATCCTGTGCGCCCAATTTTCGACGCTGCGAAAATATCATTTTTTTTTATGCCAAGGAGAAATTCCTTTTTCTTTATTTCATCGTTTTATCACCTAATGTGATTTTCTGAAAAAAAACAAAATATACTAGAAGATGCAGCGTGAAAAGCTCTATAATTTACATAGAGCAATTTATTCAAATACGAAGAAAAGAATTTCTTGTTCGTGTAGAAAAATGATTTTTTTCGCAGCGTCAGACATTGGTCTCACAGAATTTTGCTGTTTTTGAAAATGAAAAGTACATAATTTAAATAAGTTTTACTTTGTAGATTGTAGAATTTTTCACGCTGCATCTTCTGATATATTTTGATTTTTTTTCACACAAACATACTAGTTGATAAAAAGATGAAATAAGAAAAAAGGAATTTTTCGTTGCATAGAAAAAAAGATTTTTTCGCAGCGTCGAAAATTGATAGTAGAGGATTTTGCTTTTTTTGAAAGCAAAAAGTGCACAATTAAATTAAGCTTCACTTTGTAGATTGTAGAGTTTTTCACGCTGTATATTCTGGTATATTTTGTCTTTTTTTTAGGAAAGCACATTAGGTGATAAAAAGATGAGATAAGATGAAGTAAGACAAGATAAGAAAAAATGATATTTCGCAGCGTCGAAAATTGGGCGCACAGGATTTTGCTTTTTTTTGGAAAGGAAAAAGCACACAAATAAAATAAGCTTTACTTTGTAGGTTGTAGTTCTTTTCACGCTGCATCTTGTGGTATATTTTGTTTTTTTTTTAAACAAAGTGTAAAGCGATGCAAAAGTGAAATGGAAAAAGGCCGTTTTTTTGTCCGCGAGAGGCTCAAATTTTCCTAACTCTAATGACTTTCCGGACACCCTATATGAGATATTAATATAGAAAAAAATTTTTTTTTACAAAAGATAAATTACTTTGTAACATGGTTGTAGAAGTTCTTTCCTGCTTATCAAAAAAAGAAAAGAAAACCATTAGTATGTTAATGATTCTATCCCAAAAAATCTTTGAGTATTTAATACATATACGCATAGAAGCAAAAGTCTTTTTCTTTTTTATTCTTTCTTGATTGCATTTTTATCATTTGAAGTAAATGGTGATTACATGAGAGTATCTGAAGTAGTGTATTTTAGTAGATTGTATAATTGACTTCGATCTGCTTTCGTAAAGAATGTACGTCTTTTAATACTATTGTACAGAACTAAAAATGACTTGACCGATAGAATACTTCATGACTAGATCATCTCTTCTTTTTGCTATTATTGTTTTGCTTACAATAAAAATAAGAAAAACCTATTGGAATGTGACGAATAAATTGAATTTTGCGTTATGTATTATTTTGCACGAAAACAAAGATTATTACGGGTCTATTTAATTTATCTCATAAATAGAATTTAACAAGGAAAAATACAATGCTATAAAGTTAGATCAAGACTTTAGATTTTCTTTTGTTACTCTCATGGTTATATTAAAAATTGAATTTTACTAAAAACCTTACTTTAATATGCTGTTGAAGTCTTCTATAACTTTGTCTTGTATATAGATTAAGCATAGCTGCACGAGTATGGTAAAATGAAGTTGTCAAATATTATTGCCCTGTAGGCTTTCTATTTTATTCTTTTCTTTTTCTTTCTCCGTCTTCTTTTGCTTTTTTCTTTTTGCTTTCTGTTATTTTAAACTCTGTCTTTCTGCCACATTCTTTTACTCCCATTTGTTACCGATACACAAGATGCTCAAACTTTATGACCTATTTCGCATCGGCATGCTCATAAAGCTAAATAATGCTTCATAGAAAAAAAACACTGTAAGAAAGCGCTTAATCTCATAAAATAAGCAATTTAGATACTCAATTTACATTAAAAAAATGAACTCTAAACCCTTCACAAGAAAAGAGCTGAACATTATTAATCTGACTTGCTTCTTGTCAATTATAAAACAGGATACTTTCACACAAATAGTTGATGTCAAGTCAAATTAAAATAATATCCTTTCATATTACATCAAATTGCACAAAATTTTGACAATACCTTAATCATTTGATTATGATCTGTTAAATATATCTTTTTTTTACGACATTGTTTTGTTCATAATCGCTTATTTTGTTTCTTGATACTTATGGCTTTATTCGACAACTCTTTGTTTATTGTTCATAGTATTGATGATGAATGAAATCTGAAAAAATGCAATATTTTGGAGCATCACGCATAATTAGAAGACTTTTTAAACAAAACTATTTGCATATATACAGGTTGATTACGTTATTTTTAATAGTTTTGTGTAGTTTGCTATATTTACGTAGAATAGTGGAAGTTTCCTATTTTTACACAGTTGGATAGAGCATCGACTACTTTATCAAACCATATAATTTACATTTTATTTGCTCTGACTCTAGACCAAAAAATTGGTATATCTCAAAAGCAGTCAAAAAAAAAATTTTTAAGGAAGCAAGTTTCAGATGGTGGCTAGGAGTGGATAAATAGCCATGTTTTGTATCTTTTTGCATGTTTTATTAAAAACAAAATATACCAGAAGATGCACCATGAAAAGCTCTACAATCCACATGGTAAATCTTATTTTAATTGTACACCTTTTGTGTTCAGTATATCAAAATCCGGTGCGACCAACATTCGCCATCGCAAAAAAAATCATTTTTTTTACATGAACAAATATTCGTTTATTTAATTTCATATTTTTATCACCTAATATATCTTCGTAAAAAAAAGCAATATATACCAAAAGATGCAGCATGAAAAGCTTTACAATTTAGACAGTAAAGCTTATTGAGATTGTTGAAAAAAATTAAAAGAAAAAAGATGGTGTCGGACGAAGTTTCGCCCGGTCGAAGTTTGGATGCTCAAAATTTTGCCCATTTTGAAAACATAAACTAAAAGTATAAAACAAGCGTTTTTATGTAGATTGTACAGCTTTTCATGCTGCATCTTCTGGTATATTTTGTTTTAATAAAACATGCAAAAAGATACAAAACATGGCTATTTATCTACTCCTAGCCATCATCTGAAACTTGCTTCCTTAAAAAATTTTTTTTGACAGCTTTTGAGATTTATCAATTTTTTGGACTAGAACCAAAAGAGACAAAATGTAAACCATATGGTTCGATAGAGCAGCCAATGCTCTATCTAACTGTATCAAAATAAGAAACTTTCCATGTTTTACATGAATACAGCAAGCTACACAAAACTAAACCCCCCTACTGAATAGAAGCCCACTGGGCTTCTAATTTGTTCTGAAAATTATAAGTTTGGACATGGGCTTTTATTGCGATCAACTTTTTTCATACTGCAGCTAAGATTTAATTGACTTATAGGCATAAAAGGCCATAAAAATTTACAAATCGAAATTAGCAAGTTGTCTGACAACTTTCAAAATACCTATCATAGTTTCTTAGGAACTAAGAAATGGTTACTAATTCTTTCTCGATTGTACATTATCAAATCGACAAAGTAGTACACTATTCACATGACGTTTTACATTGACATACTCACCTACCCTCAGTATTTCGTGGATCTTTCTATGAATATGAAAAACCGCGTTTAACGTCCACCATATGTTAATTCGGGGCATGCCGAGCTTTGAAGAAATTTAAAAGAGACTTCTATTGGACATGCATCGGTATAGTTCTGCTAGACGACTTCACCATGATAGCTTATGCATAATCCGGATACGAAGCGAAACATATTTTAATTGTCGCCGCAGAAATATAAAATAAAGAATAAACCTGTGACTACACAATAAAGATCTTTCACTGCTTGAGAGAGAGGCTATCCAAATTCAATAAGTATTATAACAATTGATATTACATCATCCAACACTGACCTTTGTTTTTAAATCTAATAAGTTATCGCGCAATTCGTACTGTTCATAGGGTAGGTTTCTCAGAAGTCTCATCCTTCAATCAAAGATTTGCTCATATTGCTGCTAAGTCAATAACAAATATCAACATTTCGTTTCTGAGTGTACATAAT